TTGTTGCCGACAGTGCTGTGGTGGAATATTCAGATATCTTTTCCTTTGATTCTCCTTGTGATTGAGCCCAATGTAGAATAAGATGGGCTAAAAGTCGATTCATATGTTTGTATGCCGATCGGGTTTGGATCAAATCCCTTTTAGATGATTTTGAACTCCCTGGATGGTTTTACGATTTGGGTTTGTGGGTTTTCGATGTGACGGCAATAAAAGCTTTCACGAGTAGAACAATGCATGTGGAGGGATCTTAGTGGCAGGGCTGAATTATATTCATCATCAAAGCCTGGGCTACGTTAATCAAAGACTGAGAGACAATAGAAAGTTACTCAGATTCTAGCCGAGGATGCTGCTAAGAAATATGATGACTGAATCTCTGTAGGGAAAAAGGTACATCTTCTACTTTCGGGATGTTTTCTTCTCTTGGTTTTATTTTAGTTATTTTACTTGTGTGTGCTTTTTTTATTATTCCTATTTCTCTGCGCACTATTAGTCTCACTCTTACATAAGCAGCGTTGATCGTCACAGTGATCATCACTAGATAATGTTTTTATTAAGTATACCTTCTCTTGTTGAACGCTCATGATAAGGCAGCATTACATTTATATCAGATACATAATGTTGTTTAGCTATACTGAGTTGTTATTTGCTAACCAGTCTTTTGAAATTGTGTTCAGTTAGTTTTGAAGAAAGTTTGTAGCTTTTTCCAGATTCAGTTCATATAAATGGTGAAAGTTTAGAGGATCTTTAACTTTTCTAAAGGATGTTGTTGATTTATATATTCTCTATAATGAATCGTCCCTCTTGGAACCAGTGGAAAATAATTGAGTGTCATTATCTTGAAAGTTTGTTAATAGTTCTGTGGAATATGTTTGGAGTCCTATTTTACTTAATGCGAATTGCTGATTTGATGTTAGCCGGACAAAAGTGTGCTACATAACCTTCCAGTTCAACTCATTAAAATCTTGGTGTGCATTGTTCAAATTATGTGAGCGTAAACTGGTTATGGGTGCTCTGGCTAAGACTCACAGAACCTTCGAAGATCATGGCAAAAAATGGATGGTGTCTGCTCTATTTGCAGCCATGTGTCGTAGTAATAAAGAAAACCATGAAAAATACGCTTGATTCTTTTTATACAAAACATTGTAAGACTTAAACTAATGCTTCTGTTTTTAGCCTTTTAGATATTACACCTGTTTTTAGACTTCAATAAATATATGTATTATTATATATATGGAATAAATATCTTTTTAATTTATGATAGAATTTAAAATAAAATAAGGTTAGAGTATTTGTTATTCCAAACTTAAAAAAAACATGTAGCATAACAGGACAATTACATAACCAATAAAAAATTATAAATGAAGGCCAAGACATTTACAAGAGAAAACAACATCGAAGACAAAACCCACAACTTCAACTTCTTTAGGGTAAATGAAAAAAAAACACCAAAATTTTTTTTCTGAAATTTTAAATTAATTATCAACAAATAAAAAAATCATGCCACTCAGATTTATGCTTTCATAATGTGAAAGACAAGTCTTTTAGGAAAAAGAGCACTAATTATGGAGGGGCAGTCCGTTCGAGTCACCGCTGCATCATGGCGGTGTAGAAAGCTGGTTTGCGGGAGCGAAGGGAAGAGATCCTGATCCTAATGGTCTTATCAATAAAACGGACCAGTTGAGAGCGATTAAGAGTAGACACAAATCGAATATCCAGAATTTCAGAGGTATTCGTGATCCTACCCGTTTCATCCGCATAATCAAATATCTGATCCGATTTAATTCGTGGCCACCAAAGCTTTAGATTTTTGATCGGATGTTCAATTCGATCTGTAAAAAAAAAAATTAATTTAAGATTTCCATAATAATAGAAAACAAAATTATTTTACTAAAAAATTAAATTTTATTTACCTTTTAAAATTATAATAAAAATTAAAAAATTTAGTAAATATGAATATTATAAAACTTATATACAATATAATAATTTTACAATTTATATATATAATTCTTTAAATATATGTATATATACCCATATAACAGATCTGATAGGATATACGTTCCTAAAGTTATTAATATTTGTGATTTGTTTCTTTAACAGATATTATATATTAGTATTTGCTTTGATTTTCTTAGAATTACAGATATCCATATTTCCTGGCTCAAATTGAAACGGATAACTTATTAGTATTTGGGATTTGTTTTTTAACATGTATTATATTAGTATTTGCTTTTATTTTCGTAGAATTACAGATATCCAGATTGGCTTAAATTGAAATGGATAACGAATCAAAAGAGACAATAAATCAAACTTTACAGATAATTTCCCAGCCCTAATAGCGACAACCACATATGAAGCAAAAATGGTTTATACAAATATGTCAGCAGGTTAGAAACCTTACTTCAAACCTTTTCGAAGTGATCCTAACTAAAGTTGGACATCTTGATAATTATGGATTACCGAAACTGAATTTATTATGAAAAGAGATCTTTGTTCCAGCAAACAATAAAGAAATACACGGATCCGGGTTTGAATTCCGCTGGTCATTGGAGATAAAATTTAAAATCTGGGTTTTCCTAGGCATCCGATGACTGAGGTGTATTCCGACCGATAACGTAGGCTGATACGGACACTTGCCGCTAGTCTGGATTCACCTTGATGGCTGTCAGGATACACCGGGTTATTGAAAATTAAATAACATACTCTCTATGTTTCATGTTTAAGGTTTTCACATAATTATCAATTAATTAATCTAATAAAACCAATAAAAATATTCAATAAAATACCAGTGCTCAAACACACCAAACAGTATTAAAAATCCACATAAAATCTGAAAGCATCATTTTAATTGAACAAAATAACTTTTTTTCAAAAATACCAACTAAAATGAAACAAAACAATTACAAAATAGATGTGTAACACAATCTCCATGAGAGATTTAACATCATAAAATAACATGTAGGTTTTCTTTACCAATTTTTATTTATAGTTACAACATCTCTTATATTTATTTGAAATAAATAAATGCAATAAATTAGATTAAAACAAAAAAAATTGAAATGACCCAGCGTAGTCTGAGACAGTCTCTAGTTTATCTTAAGAAGTTTACTAAAAACAACAATGAACATTAAATGAATTGATCATGTCACATTTTACCTTAAAATCAATCATCTTTTTATTATGTTATGTTATCATTTTTTGTGAAATTGGATTGGTCGATGATACATGTCAAAATCACTTAACAAATAATATCTAGAAAATACTTAATTTTGATCCAAAAGATATAACTATTTAAATTTGGAAGAGATAAACAATTAATAGTTAAACTTCAAAAATATTAGTTAATATCCAAAGATAACGTACAGTTATCAGTTTGTTGTTGAGGAAAATATGTACTATACATGTCACATCAAAGTTTTTATGTGCAATCCAAATTAAAAATGATAATATTTCCAAATAACCATTTTAAGTTTTTTGTTGTCAAAAGAATTCATAAATAGAAAAATGACCAAAATATATTTTATTAAATAATTGACTCTACTATACTTGTTTCGTAAATAAAAAAAAGTGAAAAAGAATTTTTTCATAGTTTTAAATTATATGTTTTCAAATTTGAATTTTTTTTTATTGTAGATTGTTTTTGCTTAATTTGGAAATACTTGATATTTTTTGTGTTTGTATTATCACAATTAGACACTTTGTGTTTAGTACACACATTTTCATTGTCTAAAGACCAAAATACCCTACTACATCCCATTCTCTCTCTCTCTCTCTCTCTCTCTCTCTCTCTCTCTCTCATTCACATTCTCTCTGTCTCACTTTTGATACCCTCTCTCCAACTCACTCACCATTTTCCAAATGTTATCTCAATTCAAAAACCCTAGATTTACCAATAAATCCCTAACTTTTTAAAAATAGAAACCGGCGACCAACTTTCTGGATTTGAGCGGTGGAGATTCAGAGAGTTTGTTGAAATCACAGAAGATACGTGAGTTCCGACGAACCAGCTCGGTGACTAAGACAATTAATCCGTGAAAAAGGTTCGAATTGAACCTGAAGCTGAGAACGACAAGCTTTCAAACCTTGAACGGAGATCTGGGGATTGTGGTGGAGTCACGGAGGAGATGTGAGTCTCGATGTGACATCGTCCACAAGATCTCATCCATGTGACATCGTCTACAGTATGCCTCGAAACTTAACCACGAAAACTTTTAAACCTTGAACGAAGATCTGGGATTGTGGTGGAGTCGCAGAAGAGATGTGAGTTTTGATGTGACATCGTCCACAAGATCTCATTCACGTGACATTGTCCACAGTATGTCGTGAAACTTAACCACAAAAACTCATCCACAAAACCTTATCTACCAAAACCACTTTAGAAGATTAACCTTGTCTATATTTCACCATCTATAAACATCACTATATATATGTTGGAAGAAACTTTGTCACCATCCATAAACATCAATATATATATATTGGAAAAAATATTTTCCACATATCTCTTATCCACAATTTCACCATCCATAAACATATATATATATATATATATATATGTAAATATTACATTTTTTAAAAAAAATATGTACATTATGGATATCAAAATATAGAAGACAAAATGTTATAATTTGTTTTACACATAAATTAGAGTTTTATATATTATAATTTTGCAGTAATGATCGATAATATAATGATAAGAAATAAAAAATCTATAAAAAGCCACAACTTTCCAAAACGCCAACCAAGCTTATTTTCTCAGCAAAATGGTGTTATAGATTTAATATTACATCAAAATCACCAATTGTGTCTTATAAAAAGAAAGTGTCTAATTGAATAATAAAAAAAAAATTAAAGTGTCTAAAATAAGTAAGTGATGCTTTACATTTTTTTTTATTTTTATGATTGTTTTTTAAATATAAAATTTTCCTTGTTTTGGAAAAAAAAGAACAAAAAGTATATGTCTTTCCAAATGCATCGAGCCTATTAAATAGCTAGAGTGAGAGGGGGCATTTGTCAATCTTTTTCCTCATTTTCACTCCAGAATCTTCTTATCAACCATTGCCCAAAATCTCGTCGACATAACCGAGAAACTAAGCTTGTCTTCGAACAAGATGGTGTTGACCACCTCCGAAGGCGATTCTTTCGAGGTCGACGAAGCAGTGGCTCGCGAATCCCAGACCATAGCTGAAATGCTCGAAGCCGGCTGCGCCGGACCAATCCCGCTTCAGAACGTCACCAGAAAAATCCTCGACAAATTCATAGACTACTGCAAGACGCACGTCGAAGCTGGTCCGATTGAAGAGTACGAAGACAAAGAGGGGGAGACGAAACTCGAGATATGGGATGAGGAGTTCTTGAAAGTAGATCTGGAAACCGTCTTCGAGCTCATCCTGGCTGCTAACTATCTAAACATCCCAGGCCTTATCGATCTTACATGTCAGGCGGTTGCAGATCACATTAAAGACAAAACACCAGAAGAGGTTCGTGAGATCTTCAGCATCAAGAACGATTTCACACCTGAAGAAGAAGACGCTGTTCGCAAGGAGAACGTATGGGCTTTTGAATGATTCTAAAAGTAATAGTTTCTTTAGATCTGTATATTCCTAGTCCAGTGTGCTGTTTACTTTGCCTCTTTAGAGCAACATTAGTGGTTAGTCTCTCAACATTTAGCTTGGGTTCACTTACAGCTTCGCATAACACCATTATAGATTGGTGAAACATTACTGATCCCATCGACGCATATTATTTAGCAATTTCATTGCATAAATTGAATGGGTTTTTACTGTGACTAGAATGCTTTTTGCCTTTGAATCCTGACAATAACAAGTTGTGTAACCTAGCGATCTGCTTGATACGTACGGATCGAATCCCGCAAGCTAATCTCTTCTTGAGGATGTAAGGCAGTCTCCAGGGAATCAACGGAATGATGAACCCTTTTACTATTCCTATGCAAGTTTGATGAAGGAAACAGCAGGATCTAGCTGGAACTGGTCATGAACCAAGGGGCATGCACACGAAGAACTCACATCTTTTCTTTGAACCAGTAAACTCACCAGTGACTTTTGATTACACGACCACGGGAGTGTAAAACTGTAAATGGGTCGATGAGGAAGTAGATCACATAAGGGTATAGGCTTTATAACTAGACTACTTAAAGGGTGTCACACTTAAAAAGAAGAAAAGCAATAATATTTTTTCACTTGACAAAAACAATAAACCAATACACCCAAACGTTTAACAATCCAGTTGTGTGTTTCAAGACCAAGCCAACATAAACTGAAAAAAGAGATATTTAAGAAGAAACTCAGAAAGAAGAAAGCGACAGCAGGTTACACAGCTTACGAATCAAACGAAACGAAACCATTGACGACATCTCAAGCCTCATCGTACTCCTCTTCTTCCTCCTCATACTCCTCTTCACCGGCTGTAGCATCCTGGTACTGCTGATACTCTGCAACAAGATCATTCATGTTACTCTCTGCTTCGGTGAACTCCATCTCGTCCATACCTTCTCCTGTGTACCAATGAAGGAAAGCCTTTCTCCTGAACATAGCTGTAAACTGCTCGCTCACACGCCTAAACATCTCCTGGATTGAAGTTGAGTTCCCGATGAAAGTTGATGCCATTTTCAAACCCGTGGGTGCAATATCACAGACGCTGGACTTAACATTGTTTGGGATCCACTCCACAAAGTAGGAAGAGTTTTTGTTCTGAATGTTCATCATCTGCTCATCGACCTCCTTAGTGCTCAGCTTCCCACGGAAAACAGCGGATGCAGTAAGGTAACGTCCGTGACGAGGGTCAGCAGCGCACATCATGTTCTTAGCATCCCACATCTGCTGGGTCAGTTCAGGAACACTCAACGCACTGTACTGTTGTGACCCTCTTGACGTCAAAGGAGCAAAACCAACCATGAAAAAGTGGAGCCTCGGGAAAGGGATCAGGTTCACAGCGAGCTTCCTAAGGTCAGAGTTGAGTTGACCAGGGAAACGAAGACAGCATGTAACACCACTCATTGTAGCCGAGATGAGGTGGTTAAGGTCACCAACTAGTCAAACAAACAAAACAAGTTAGGAGACTCAGTACTCAACCACATTACATGAATATGGAATTGTACTTACATGTGGGATTAGCAAGCTTGAGGGTACGGAAGCAGATATCGTAGAGAGCTTCATTGTCCAAAACCATACACTCGTCAGCATTTTCAACAAGCTGATGCACAGAGAGCGTTGCATTGTATGGCTCCACAACAGTGTCAGAGACCTTAGGAGAAGGAAACACGGAGAAGGTCATCATCATACGGTCTGGATACTCCTCTCTTATCTTTGAGATCAAAAGCGTTCCCATGCCAGATCCAGTACCTCCACCCAACGAATGACAAACCTGGAAACCTAAACAAAGAGCCAAACCAACGCATCAGAACGAAATCGATCTAACAATCTTAATCCATCAACGAAGACCTAGATCTCGATTCAAAACCTAAATCAAATAAAAAAAATGAATGAGAATCTCTTCTCACCTTGTAGACAATCGCTGTTCTCAGCCTCCTTCCTCACAACATCAAGCACGGAATCGATCAACTCCGCTCCCTCCGTGTAGTGACCTTTCGCCCAGTTGTTCCCGGCGCCGGACTGGCCAAACACGAAGTTATCGGGACGGAAGATCTGACCGTACGGTCCAGATCTGAGCGAATCCATGGTTCCAGGCTCCAGATCCATGAGAACGGCGCGTGGAACGTACTTTCCGCCGCTAGCTTCGTTGAAATACACATCGATACGTTCCAGCTGGAGAGGAGAGTCGCCCACGTACTGACCGGTGTGATCAATGCCATGCTCGCCGCAGATCACTTCCCAGAACTTGGCTCCGATCTGGTTTCCACACTGACCGCCTTGGATATGGAGGATCTCTCTCATCTTTCTCCTTCGCTTTGTTTCTCAGGAAAAAAGAAAGGGGATGAAATGAGAAAATGGCGACGAGCGGAGGATTAAAAGGATAATCAGCTATATATAGTTCTGTCATTTGTTTACAAATGTGCCTTTATACTTTATTTGGTTTCACCATTTAACCGTATATCTTTTATTTTCGTTTCTCTAGGGCTGTACGACAGCAGAGGATTTCAAATATCTCGGTCCCACTTGTCCACAGATATTTTTGCTATTTAAAAACAAAATTATAACTAATTAGCTTTTTTTTTTTTTTTTTTTTTCTGCCGAGCAGGTTTTGTTCTTATTATGGATAAGTACAAATAGTATGCATTTCTTTTTTTTTGTTCACTATAAAAATAGTATGCATAATCAATCCAAGGTTGACTGTTCAAGACAAATCATACAGAAGTGGTGGGACTATAACGTCCGGCTCAAATAATAGATGGGCCCCTTTCTATAAATTAAATGAAATAAATGTTGTGTTAAGAAGATTCCAGAATCTGTACTACAATTCGTCGTTCACTATTTTACTGTCACTTCTTAAACTGTCACTTATTTCAGGTGGATATGGTTCAAGAACAATATAAATAGTGAGATGAAGCGAACAAAAAAGTTTTTTTTTATTAGAACTGAACATGAAGTTACAAAGAGGTAAATAGAGGATGAACTAGCCGGAGCTCGGAGAGATGATGATATCACTCAAATTACCATAAGGAGTGAATTACTCTCATAAAAAAGGTTCAATTGTAGTACTTAGGGATCGAATCCACAGAGACTTTAGGATTACACAACATATTATTTAGTTTTCGAAATAAAGCTAGACAGTAAGGCTTAAACAGTAACTTAAAAGATGAACAAGTAATTGCTTGATTGATTGATTTGCTAAGAGGAAAGAAGGTAGCTAGACTTAGGTATTTTCTCAGGTATGACAAATATGCAAGTTATAGAGGGTTTTTATTGTTCATAGTTCAGGATCTACACTTTCAAGGTTTTAAATCGAAAGTATTAATTCCCACTGGCCTCGGGTCAACAACTATCGTTCAATGACCATGAGAAGGTATCGATCGATATTCAGTCGAATTATCGATCGATGACTCTTTTCTATATCGGTCGACAAGATGATTATCTCGTCGAGCGATATTGATTCCAGCGAGTTATAATAACAAGTTTGGAACAATTCTCTAGTCTTCACTAAATCTACTTAGATCTCAGGTAATTGCCAAGTTCTCACTTGTCCAAATTGATCCTAAAATCAAAGATAAGGGTGATCAATCCTTATCATTAGCATTCATGATGATTAGATGGAGAACTATATTTTAAACACCCTAGTAATGATTCATTTAATGCATGAGTCAACCTTAATGAGAAACTTAAATCTAACAAGAGAGACTACTCAAACATATTCATGAGAGACAAAGTCATAATGGTTTGAATAATGCTTTAAAGATAATAATAGAAAGAGAAACAGTAAAGAAATAAGTAAAGCAAAAGAGTTCAAGATCTTCTCTGGATTTGTAGTTCAGATCTCTCTCTACTCCTAAGCTTTTCTCAAAGTGTAGCTAGATGCTTCTCTCAATTTAGGTCTAAAAAGATCTATCTTCCCCAGTCTGTCTAAGCTAGTACAAAACCCTCATAATATAGCTTACAGGCGGCCAGGGACTTAAAGTGTAATTATTAAAACTCTTGTGAAGCAATTAGGGCTTCTAATCTTTATTTAATCGTTTGGAGGACTTCTGTATCGATCAATGGTGAATGTCTTCAATCGATCGATATGGGTAACCTTTCATCGGTCGATTGTTCTCAACGTACGTCGGTCGATATCTTTAACATCGTTTTGCTCATATCTTCATAAAGTCACCATTTTAGCTCCATAATGGCTAGTTTACACCAATGAGTACCTAAACCTGTAAAAGCTCTAAAAAGACACTAAAAGTATCCTTTTGTTTCCAAAAACATATATAAATCATGGTTGAAAGTGGGTAAAATCCATGACATATCAACTCCCCCAGACTTATCATTTTGCTTGTCCTCAAGAAAATAATAGAACATTGGTCTAGAAAGGGTTTGAAAGGCGGAAACTCTTATAATTCTAAACTTAGAACCATCACCTCTTTACTTATTGCAAGCCACTTCATATATCTATCAATCTCAGAAGTACATTACACCATATCCTACCTTAGCAACCAAATTCAACTAGCCAACAACTTAATGATCCTGTTTGTCTATCCACTAGGCCGGTTTCATTTATGCATAAAATAAAAGTGAATGCTTTACCTTGGGAGTATCGATCAAGGAACACTTGGATTCAACTCAAACAAGTTTCAGGCATTCTCATTCTTGTTTCTTTTCTCCCTATATCTCCCTTCTCTGAATCCCAAATTTTTCTTTTTCTTTTATATCAATCCCAATGAACAAGGAATGTTCATCTTATTGATTTTTCTACTTTTTGTAGTTTTTTCTGACAAAGTGTAGGCAAATAGTGGGGTCATGAGTAATTTACCTTTTCCTCGCTTCCACAATGTGTGATCATTCCTTTGAATTAGAATAGTGGGGTCATGGGTAATGTACCTATCTCTCTGCCTCTCAGGAAATCATCTCAATCTTTTATTATTTTTTCTGGGATGCCAAAGGAAGGAGAGAAGCAAACCAAAATTATCAAGACTTTTACCTTCCAGACTTGCAAGAGGATTCTGATCTCTTGTATACCAATCCCCTAGACAAGCAGAATATGTCAGGTTAGGTTGGAAATCGACTTTGGTTCTTCCAAACATTTTCAACAAGTGTTGTCATAGCTGACAGGTGATCCACTTTAGCATCTCTAGTACCCTCTGTAACTGAAAAATCTAAGAGTGGTGCTAAGA